AATGACTGGATTCATCACGTTATAAAAATATCATTAAATTCGGATAAAATAAAAACTAATTACATAAAATATATTTTATTATCTCTAATGAACTTTCTGAATACTAATTTCTTCTGAATTTTACTTTATCCGAAATGTTTTATTATACACTCACCGGCAAAAAAACCGGCCACTAAAAACTAATCCCAATTTCAGAGTTGGATTTCTCGCGAACCACTCATTAGATTTTGATGATTTTTTTTTAAATTATAAATTAATTCCTTCTTAACGGATGCTACGTCAGAAATTTTTATTCCGAATTTATTTTGAGCATATACAGGGCACAACAATAAGACGAAGTTTTTTGCTCGAACTATGTGACACCCTGTAGGGTGCAGCAGCTATAGTAGCTATTGCTAAATCAAATCGCATTGTAGGCTTATATTTTGTGAGCATTTTGTTTTTCTAATTACGACATTATCTCTGTTTGTATTGGAGATACGCTGCATTAAACCGAACGTCTCGGAAAAATCCTTTGCAGGCAAAACCGCGACCAAACCAGTTCACATGTAAACGCGTAAACTGAAGACGTGCTCGACGAAGTCTTGGACAATAAAGCGGTCGTCAATTGCATTTGTCTTCCGTTTTCTTCCGGAACCCACTCGCCTAGTGAAATTTTCCGTTTCCATATACCGATTCCAGGCATCCTGGACTGTTGTTCGAGGTATGCCCAGGGTATCGGACACATAACGTTGACTTCGACCATCCTCAATTAAAACCAGAATACGAGCAACATCCGTCACAGATAATGGCACTTTTTAATTTGACAACCGTTGTTGTCATATTGCAAATACTCATAAATCCGTTTTCGTCTATGTCACACAGGGGTATTTGACACAGATAATTGATCGAAATTTTTTTATGTAGACCTTATATAAATTATTGCTATTTTCAATTAAAGAGGAAATAATATGAACAAAACAAAGGATAATTCGTCGATTCTAAAAAAAGAAAAAAAAATCACTGTTCCAGTGTTTCCACGGTCAATGCCACTAATGCCAGTAGTAATATCGCAACTAATACTACTAATGCGACGACTGATCCGCGAGCAATGCCCGTACCACTAAAGTCGCTACTAATGCCAAATTGTGCTATACTGCTAATGGCACTAATGCGATCGCTTTGTACACAACAATGCCATCGCGGTTTACACCTCGCATTAGTATATCACTGATTGGCAAATTAGAGGAAACCAAGAATGTTTTTCTCATTTTATCAGCAAAGTCGCAAAAAGTCGTAGTATTTTATTTTACTGTATGAAAGCCCAATGTTTACTAAGTAAAACGTATATAGACAATATGCTGAATTCTTCGAAATGCGGAACTAAATATCTAAGTATAATAAAAATGTCACAAATTTAATCAAATTTTCTGAACGCCTAACTTTTAGTTGCAAAAAAAATCGTTAGTATAGAGAATATCAAAATAAATAATACGTTTTTGTAGAATACATACCTGCAGCTTGCTGAGCCATTTTCAATCAAAACAATAATATAAAAGTAAAAAGAGCCCAAGAACAACAACAATTTATAATTTTAAACATAAAATTTAGCCATTTACCTCTTATCTGTGAGAAGTAACAACTTTGACGTTTCGTTGAAACAAATGTATGCTACAAAACACACCCATAGCAACACCATTCATGGCAGACATGATTTAACTTATCATTTATCTTTTTTTGGGAAATCTTAAACACATTTGCTTTTTTGAATTTCGATCACCTTTTTCATGCTAATACCCCACCGTGTGTCGCCTTGATTATTTATACATAAAATTTTCTGCCTGCGAAGCATTTTTCCGAGACGTTCGTTTTAAAGCAACATATCTCCAACAAAAAGAGAGATAATGTCGTGATTAAAAAAACAAAATGCTCACAAAAGATGAGGCTACAATGTGACTTGCTTTAGCAATAGCTACTACAGCTGCTGCACCCTACAGGGTGTTACAAAGTTCTGGAAAAAAACTTCGTCTTATTGTTGTGCGCTGTATATGCTCAAAATAAATTCGGAATAAAAATTTCTGACTAGCATCCGTTAAGAACGATTTAATTTACAATTTTAAAAAAAATCATCAAAATCTAATGAGTGGTTCGCAAGAAATCCAACTTTGAAATTGGGACTAGTTTTTAGTGGCCCAGTTTTTTTTGCCGGTGAGTTTATAATATATTTTATATCAACCAATATTTTATGTAATTTAATATGTTCTTCATTATTTTGTTTTATCTTTTTTTCAAACTAAACTAAATCAGTTATATCATAAATTTGTTTTTGCAATAAGGATCATTTTAAATAAATATGTTTGTTTATAGGTTTGTTCTCACAAGCATCCAAAACAGTTAGAAACTTGTCACATGTAGTTGATCACACCAAATCATAGATATGTCATATGTCATAAACGAAAAACATAGATAATTCGGTTAACTGTTTTCGACAGTTTGCTGATGCTGTGAGAACGAACGGTGTATCTTTCATAATAACGTAAATATAATTAACAAAATTATTAATGTACAGGGTAAGTCTTGAATAAGTGCAAATATTTTTAGGGGTAGTCTATTTCAACCCCAGAAACACGATTCTGAGGTTTTTTTCGCGAATTTTTTTTTAAAGGTTTTAGTTAAAACATATAATTTGTTGATAATATGGCAACATAGGTAGTAGATTACATTTACAAGAAAGAAAATCCAGAAAAGATCCAGTGGTTCTCAATATTTTAGCAAAAATCATTTTTTTGGAAATTTTCACAGTAGAATAACTCGGTTATTTTGGATTTATTTGAAAAACGAAAAAGGGAAAATATGTTTCTTTTATGGACATCTACCAGCCTTGAAAATATTTATACTTATTTAAGACTCACCCTGTATATCTTATTTTTTACAATTTTTTTTTATTAGAATGTGATTTTTGTGTAGAAACAATAAAAATTTCATTTATTTTATAGAAACATATATATATTTAATATTGCAGATATTTAAATAAGTTAAAATAAAATAGTTTAATTAATGACTAATATTCTTATCTGTATCATGTGAAAAAAACATCAAATGTTCTTTTTAATTAAAAATTATTTATGTTAGTAATGCTCCTTAAAACAACTTAATGGAAATGTCTTTAATGAAATAGTGTAAATATTTAATCTCTAACTTAATAACGAAAATCTAATTATTTGTATCCCAAATATTGCCACTTATTCAACAATAAACAGTAGAGAAGAAATTAAAGTTACCTAATTAAATTCGCAAACAGACTTCCTAAAATCAAATTGAAGCTAAATCCGTTTATATAGCAAATAAATACAAATAGCATGTAATAAAGGAAGTGTTTATCCTATAAATTTAAAAAAACATATTTTTTTTATTTTTCAATTAATTTTCATATAATAATATTTTCCTATCCAAACAAAAAAAATACTGACAAAAGACTATAAGCAATTTTTCGTTTTTTTTTGTTTTTCTGTGAGCAAATAAGAGTTAGTTATTTAATCAAATAATTTTTTAAAAATTCAAATGTAATGCTTCTTCTTAAAGGCCACGACGACGTGAAATTTAAATGCCAAAATCACGTTGAATTTCTTGTCTGACGTTAAAGTTTAAACCTAACTGTGACTTTCGACACAAAACTCTCAATCGATATTGTGTCAATTTTGGGCGTGTTGTTTATAATTATTGGTGATATTATGCATCTGCATCACAGGAGCCGTAAAAACCTGCCTAACAGCAGCAATGGAGGTGATCATCAGCTAACATCACTGCACATTGTCAGGTAGATACATAAATCAATGCGATAATAATTAGAATGATTGACGGAAACAGTAGGTACTAGGGAAATTGTCAGCTCACGAGCTTGGAACACCCTCAAAATTCCACTACTCCTACTCCTAGCTGATGACATTACCGAGAATGAACAACTTTGAGCAATGATGTGGTATACTGAAGCTTCCAAAACCAAAGCAGAAACAGGAGATATATAGTATGGATTAGGAGTATTTGGGTCAAAAATTAAATATTTTAAATTAATGAGCACCTATCCCAGCATTCTTCATGCAGAAATCTACGCTATCAAAAGATGCGTACAACTTAGCTTAGATAGGAACTACCGCAAACAAGATAGAGTCATCTTATCCGATACTCAAGCAGGCTTAAAAGCGATCAACTCAGTAACCATCAATTAGAAGTTGATCAAAGAATGCCTAGAGAAGCTAAACAAATTTGACAAAGAAATAATAAGCTACTGAATAATCTAGCGATCTAACTAGAAAAAAAGCGAACACTCCATTAACTGGACCAGAACCGTTCTGCTTCTCAAGTGAAAACCAACTTAAAGCGGAACTCAAAAACCTGGAAGACTGCATCCGTAACCTGGAACTGGAATCCTACAACGGTCTAAGATACTCGAAAAATTTCTCAAGACTTCCTACCGGAAAATATTAAAAATTTTCCTTTAATTCACGGGATTTTATGAGGACACTGTCTCCTCAATGAACACCTCAGTAGATTGAAGCTAAGAAACAACGGCAAATGCAGACTCTGTGGGGAAAAACCGGAACACTTTATCACTGAGTGTGCCGGAACGGCAACCATTCGTGACATAAACTTTGGTACTACTGATACCGGAGATGGAGAACTAACCCCTATAAAATCGTCTCAGTTACAGGCTTTTGTCGAAGCCCTGAGACTGTAATCATACAGTCTCAGGGTTATCATACAGTCTCAGGGACTCATCAGAGTTATAACTTAAGAAAGGGGGACGCAACAGAAAAAATCGTAGGTAAAAAAATGTGGTTAACAAATTATGAGAGTGAGCAAATCATGAGCAGTTTTAATTATACGATTTCGCACCAAAAGAAACTCTAATCAAATTAATTATGTCTCTCAAATAAAATAGACAATATCATTCTCATTTGATTAATTGAATCTATTCACTGCACTATTAGAACAAATTCGAGAGTAAAGATACTTGTTCTTACCGACTGTAATTATCGCAACGGACTTCCACTTCATATCGGCGACCACATTGGCAAATCCTCCAGCTATATCGGATATAGTCGGTCCCAAATGCAGGATCTTCTTGTTATCTTCGTCTTGTTCTTTTTCTTCTTCAGCTAAGCCCTGAAAACACGACAGGAAAGCTTTATAAAATCCCTTTTGTTGGTCCTTTGTAGGAATTTGTACTTTTGTTCTGTTTTAATTAATAAGTTTAAACCAGAAAATAAATCCTGAATTTTAACGTTTCCACAAATACAGTTTTAAAATAATCAAAATCTGAGCTTCGTAAAAAAAACTTTTAATATCTATTTTATTGGATAGTATTGTATATTGAAAAAAAAACGGCGTCAAAGACGGCTTGGGAACGACAATCGATCGGCGAGGTCAATTTCTTTTCCCGAGGTCAGTTGACACAAAATGTGTTGAAAATTAACACAAATTGAGGAGCAGACTTTCTAGATGTATTTTCAGTGGCGTAACTATCGATGTGCCGTGTGTGCGAAGCACACGGGCCGCTTTCCCATATCTATCACATGCTATCGCGAATCAAGCAGAATCGGGCGATCCCGAACTAAGTCCTATCTATCACATGTCTTCTTAACTACTTAACTAGCACAAGCTATCGCGAAAATAACTTATTACGTTATACTTGTTCTTGTGCAATTTTGTAGCTGTGTTTTCTTTTTATTTTGCAAAATAAAAATAACTGGAAATATGTGATTTTTCATTAGAGCATTAAATCTGACAAAAAGGGAAATTTGCAGTATTGTCACTGGATTTCTGTACCATCGAATAGAGCTAGAACTAAGCTAGTTGTAGCATCAAAAAGAGCATGAAAAATTATACTGGCCAAACTAGTTAACTCAAAATCACAAAAACTCTGGTTACCTAATGGTTGTATTAAGGGGATGATAAGGCAGCTGAGTTACGAGAGGTGCCCGAAACTGCCACTTTTTTTGGCAATTATTTCAATAGAAAATGAAGTTACTCGTACAATAGACATTGGTAATATTGTGTCAACTTTCGCCCATGCTAAAGCAAGGAAAAAAGAATCTTGACATGTTCATTGTTTATTTTAATTTAGTTAATTTTGCTGTTGTTTTTGGTTTTGTTTTTATTTATTTTTTTATTTATTTGATATTTTATATGTTTTGGGTTACATATTCTGTGTTGCAGTAATAAATAATACTATATAAAAATTAATTTGATAAATTTTACCGGGGCCCGGCAAACTTTTTGCACACAGGCCCGTGAGTCTGTTGTTACGCCACTGTGTATTTTATCCATTTTTTCGAATTTTGGCAAACAAAGAAAAACTTGGATATATATACTCGAAAAATGGATAAAAAAAATCATAAAAATAGTACAGCTACATGTCAAAAATCTAGTTTTGATGATATCTGAAAAAAAAAAGAAAAAAACTGTTGACTGTCCTTTATACGTGAAATCTATCTTTATTTTTCTTCTACCACGATCCGTATCCCTAACTACATAGTCCCTAGTCGTAGTTCCATTCATTATTTTAAGTAGTATTATTCAAAAAATAGAGAAGTTGTAGTACAAAAAAATACTCTTCATCTGGCAATGACAGACAGCAGTATGTCCACAGCATACAAGGACATTTTTTGGCCCCCTTTGGTTTAAAATCTTAAAAAATGGACAAAATGCATTTAGTAAGTCTGCTCCTCAATTATAGAAACCACTTAAAAATAATCATTTTTACTCAATATCAAAATAAATCGCAACCTTCTTAAGGCCAACTGGCAGTAAGCGCCAATTAATTTGAGAAGAGCACGGTCCGAGTAAATAAGGTCTACGGCTTGACCTCGTCAAAATTATCATCGATTGTCATTCCCCAACCATCTTTAACGCCGTTTTTTTTCGGTCTATGTTATTAAAATAATTTCATAATGACAAAATGATTCAAAATATTGAAAATCTGTTCTGTATTGTCTATTTACTTTACGTAATTAGTTATTGTGCTCCTTACCTTCGGACAGTTCCATAATAATAAGGTCGTATTGAAGTAAGTGTTCAGATATTGAACCGATGAGCAAATATCCGGTCGAAAAGATCCCAAAACTAATCCAGAGCTTGCAGATAGGGTGTGGAGCAGTTTCTGTTGATTCTCGCACAAATCTGAAACAAAACATAATCTATTACACCCTCTCGCATTCAAAATATTTACTCTGCAAACATACAAGACTTAAACAAAGCTTCTTCATAAACCGGAAACATAATCATGATTATATAACATCGTTAATTCGATTATATTTAGATTTTCCAATCCAAATATAATTCTTTTTCCCAAATTTATTGGAAATGATTCACTTTTCTTTTAAATTAATTCTTCATAATCTACATATATAAAATGCTAATGTTTATCTATGTCGCGTCGTCTCTACTGATGTAACGACTTGCTCTAGAAAGTTGCTTTTTTTACTAAAAGATAGCTCTAATATGCTCTTCTAAAACCTGTCGTCGCCGGATTTTTTGTTTTTCATTTAATTAAAAAAAAAATATTTTTTTTTCCTGATGTCGCATGTCGTGGCGGATGCGCCAGGCTCCAACTAGTATAAAAATAATTACCATGCCATCGAAAAAAAACGGCGTCGAAGACGGCTGGGGAATTACAATTTGGCAAGGTCAAGACCTAGACCTAGACATCATATATTTGACATTCATTCTCTAATGGTAGTTACCGTCAGTTGACACTAAAAAGGAATTAAAATCGATGATAATTTTGGCAAGGTCAAGACCTAGACCTAGACGTCATACATTTGACATTCATTCTCTAATGGTAGTTACCGTCAGTTGACACTAAAAAGGGTTGTAATTTATTTTTATATCGGCTAAATATTATTTTGAAACGGTATTAAAATTCAAGAAAACATATTTTTTTTGGAAATAGATTTGTGCGTTTGTAAACGTTCTATCCTATTTTAATCTTTCTATAATTTTAGTGTTAATTTTTGACAAAATTTATGTCAATTTTTTATAATGACATCTAAATTTTTCCCAAACCAAAATTTTCATCGATTGTCATTCCCAGCTGCCTCTGACGCCGTTTTTTTCAATCACACAGTATATCTCCACTTTGGTGATATAAATTAAAACATTCATATTAACATAAATATTAATAATAACTCCTTAAATTTAGTCATTTCAGTTCAATGTATAAAATAATGGGCTTAAAATGACTTGTTGCTAAAATTATTATATAATTTGAATAAACGATCAAAAAGAAAATAGAAAACATAAAAGTGTGTTTGTCTCAAAATAATCTAAAATATATGCCTACCTAAACATTTTTCAAAGTGCTTAACAACCACCCTGTATATACGCCATATTATTAGCTTACCATATCATTGTTACATATCATTGCAAAAGCTAATTGAATTATTACGGTAATATAAAGCGAGTTTTCTATTTGCCTAATTGAATGGTAAATTTCATTCGAAAGCAGGGTTTTAGGGCCACTAAACCTAAACAGATCGTATCTCGCGGTTGAATAAATGTGTAACCAGAATATGCTTTGCTGTATTCGTTCCAACCAGCCACTGTGCTTTGATATTTTAATCTCCAAACCTCCAATTACTTAATACCTCAATAAATGGAACCATTTTATAAATAAATCGCAAATATAGTTAAAGATATTAAGTTAATGAAAACGAAAAAAATTTTATACAGGGTGAGTCTTCATTAAGTGTAAATATTTTTAGGGGTAGTATATTTCGACCCCAGAAACACGATCCTAAAGTTTTTTTTTGCATAAAAAATTTTTGAAAAATTGGAATTTTTTGAAAAAAATAGATTTTTTTTAGTTTTTAGCTAAAAATATAACTTCTTGGCAATACCGCAACATAGGTAGTAGATTAAATTTACAAGAAAAAATATCCACAGAAGATCCAGTGGTTTGGTTTGGTTTGGTTTTTTTTTTAAATAATAATAAAAATAAAAATGCCTTATTTTAATGACGCACCCTGTATCAATATTTATCAGAATTAGAACTTAAGTATCTTAGGTAAGGAGGATTCAATATAATTTATCAGATTTGAAATAAATACGGTCCTAAGGGTAGTTTACTCTTGACTCGAAAAATATCAAACCCCATTAAAACGTACGTCTATGAGATATCGCATTTCTTACTCTGGGCAAAATGTACGTCTTATAGTCGTCTTAGTCGTATTAAAATACTAATATTTCAAGTTTATAATGAACTTTGAATAAAAATATTAAAGAAGAAGTATAATGCTACCTATGTATTCTCTAGACTCTAGGGTGGGGATCCTTGACAGTTCTGTTTGACGCTTTATTTGACACATTTGAATTTGATTTGAAATCTTGTGGATTAATTATATTAAAATACTTTTTATGGTTTTAATCGAATAAAACTTACTTTTGTAATACTTGAAATCGATAGAGAAATAATTTGAGTTGAATTAAAATTTCGGGTAAGTTTTCTTCTCGTACAGTTAGAAAACGGGAAATAACTTATATTGAGGACTTGGAACAATATTGTTCGTGAAAGTACTGGAGTTGTTGAAAGAAAACAAACTTTGAGGTTTGTACATGGCAGCTTATTGTAGTTCAGAGGAACTTTTTGCAGGAGATATATTTTTAATAAGTCGGGTTTTCTGTGTATAAGTTTACTAACTAATTAAAAAAAAGCATTTTGAAAACTAGTAGGTTTAAGAAGTTTTCAGTTACAAGAACATATACCATACGATCGAAAAAAAAGGTCTTAACTTTTTAATGGCGCTTCTACCAGTTGGCCTTAAAGGTTATAATTTATTTTTATATTGAGTAAAAATGATTTTTAAATGGCGTATAGTTTAAAATTGTGTAGTGTAACAACCCAAATTCGTCAACAAAGTTGAAGAGGTAATATTTTGGCCAACTGTATAACAAGAAATTTAAAAGTAAGAAAGGAACCTACGTTGTGTTAAATATTTTTTTATTGTGATTACCTCGGATGCGCCTCAACAGAAGCAATATTATGGGAAATTTGAGGAGAATAGGTTATGTAAATAAAACACTAAATTTGGAAAAAGCCCTACTTATTTTATTAAATGAAATGAAAGGAGTGCCGTACTCTGCCTGGAATTCACATGTAAAAGAGCACGGCCGAGAAAACCATGATCACTATTCCAGAGAATCTAACTATGCTGTCCTGAACTTTAATAAAAGAGAAATAATAATATAGAAACTGTCCTCATACCTAGGTTTATAGTTTAATACATTCAAAACATGCCACATTTATATCGTTCAAAATTGAAGAGGTTTTTGTTAGTTTAACGGGTCCCACCCGTAGGTACGAAGTCCCTTGTTGCGGAATCGACGCTAAAGTTGAAGGTTTGGTGCCAATATCTTATAATTTGATAAATTGTAAGTTATTCTATGAATTATTTTATTTATTGTTTTTGTTTGCCCTTTTGCGAGCTAAGATATTCGCCCATGCAAGGTCGAAAATTGTTAGTACACTCAACAAGGCTCTTATTCCCACAAACCACAAACATCGGCACGAAGGAACAGTAAACGATTTTATTTAGATTACTTTTAAACTGAAATTATTTACAGCATAAATAGATTCCATTAACTGCATACACATGTTATATATTGTCTTTGTCAGATCAAATGAATAAGGAAAAGCTTTAGAACAGAATTACAACAAGAAAGCAAAATAATATGATTTAGTTAACATTAGTCACATAATGAGAAAACATTTACTTTACCTTTAATAACATTCTTTGTCACAGAACTCAAGAACCAAAACAATATCAATGCGTCTCGAATGGTAGTCTAAAAGCTATTATCTAACAAATATCACCTCTGTTCGTCGCCTGATTTCCCTCTCCCTAGTTTGTGAATAATATTTTAAAAATCAATAATTTCGTTTATGTATACAGAGTGTCTTAAAAATGAATGTTTTGAATTTAAATAAATATGTCTATTTTTAAATAGGCGGTTCATCTCAATTGGAAAAATTATTTTTTTTTGGAAATAGATTTATTCTGTCCTTTTTCAATCTCTCTATACAGGGTGGTCCGAACTGTATTCCGGAAACTCCGACCGCATATTCTGCAGATAAAAATAAGTAAAAAGTTCGTATAAATGTATGTCCTAAAATGCTTAGTTTCGGAGATACAGGGTGTAGAAATTTAATTTTTATTTCGATTTTCTCCAAATAATTCTGCAGTGCCGTCAAAATTTAGATGAAAATTGGTATCTGGGAGTTCTTTGACATGAGAAATGTGATTTTGATGTCAATATGACTCCTATTTATAGAGGGCGCCACCTACATATTTGTAACTGGTTTGTAAAGTAATAACTTTTTATCCGAACCTGCATAAAACTACTGAGTAAAAAAATGTACATTTATGACGTTTTTTACGGAAAAAAGGTCTCTTGGTAAAAGTCGGTCGTTGGTAAATTTTTTTGTCAATAATGACATGTGTCGACTATTTCAATTCTAAATATCTTGAGAACGGTTGCTCCTAGCGATTGTTACAAAGAGATATTTTTTATGTAAAAAGTCACAGAGATGTATATTTTTTTCCTTGGTAGTTTTATACAGGTATGGACAAAAAGTTTTTACGCTTCAAAACAGTTAAAACCAATGACAAAAGCTGGATTTATAAACTCGGGAGTTGAGGTTCAGTTGAGGTTCAGTTGCCGTTCAAAACGTTCAACGCTATGAAATGAACGCGCGCATTTATAAAGTCAATTGGTCGAAAAGTTGGTAGTTCGTTTTACGTTCAGCGGAGTTCAAAGATGGTCAATGTTTATGTCGGCAGTTGCGGGCAGTTGGCGACCGCTGGCGACGTTCGGCGACAGCCAATGAATAAGCGCCTGTCGATCACGTGAAGCACAGTACGCCGATGCATTGGAAAATGACCCTTATTGTTGTTTCATTATTTCTGTTAATGTGATGTTTATATTTTGCGTAATCGTGGATTACTGTGTTTGAACTTTGACAAATACCAGAAGTATTTTTAAATCGAAAGAAAAACGTTCGAAATTTTCACAATTCCAAACCTAACCTACAACCGAAACTGACAGTTTATAAATGCAAAAATATTGAACCTCAACTGCCGCGAACATCCCACTGCAACTGAACCTCAACTGAACGCCAACTT